ATATATATATATATATATATATGTGTATATATATATGTGTATATATATAAAAAAAAAAAAATATTGTGCTGCTCCCTTTTCAGGCTTCACGTTAGCATTTTTATAAAGCATCCTTGAGGTGGCTCAAGCTGAACATCAAACATCAAAGCACTGCATCCAAAATAACTAGAGGAGAGAGAGTTTTTAATTCTGTCACTAAAAATAGTTCAACAGTTAGGGGAATAGGTGTCCTATTGGAGGACATTCCTGACCTGATCCTAACACGTCCTGAGTGCTCTCATTCTCAGTGGAATCAATAGGGTTTATCTCCAGCATCTCAAGAGACGTTGCAAGTTGCCTGAGGCAACAGGGAAAACCTCTAACCCTACACATTTCTCAGAGTGCAGGGAATATGCTATGTCAAGTTTTGTGCTAGAACATAAGGCCCAGGGGAAAATTTCTGTGCAATCGGATTAGTATTTATGAAGAAAAATGGCTAGGAAAAGCTCACTCTGGTCGTTGGATCTGTCAGATCTGTAGCTATGGCATTTGTTCTGTTGAATGCTAGCTTTTATCAAGGATTCTTGGGAGCGTTGAGAAACTGTTCTGTACACAGAGGCTATTGGGGCCACCACTCTGACACTGTTTTTTTTCTGGATGGTTTGTTGCCCTAGAGGCAGTCCAAGTATTCAGTGTCCACTGGTTTTGATTTCACTGGAAAACTTTTAACAGAAAATTGTACCCAAGCTGTAATTCTTTTAAATCTAGATTTTGATGCAGTATCCCCAAACTGGGGCCGTATATGGTAACTGTGTAGTGCTTTGTTAGCCTCATTTCTAGCTAGTTCACACACAAATTATAATCTGATATAGCATGGGTGTTGGGAAGCTTTTTTTCTTTAACTCAGAACACAGTAGCTCATACCTAAAAGTCCTGGGACAGATTATTGTTGTCATCCAGGGGCATCCATATTTATAATGAAAACCAGTAAGCTCCCCTGAACTCCTGTGTTTATGGTTGGCTTTTGCTAAAGTTCTGTTTCTGTCTTGAAATCCAGATAGAAATCCTCTTAAATATGAGAACTAGATGGTTTTATGTGCCCTAGTGCTTGTGATATGGAAACCTCTTACAAAAGGAGTTTACAAAAAGTATGTGGTATTGGTGAGAACTATCCCAGTATTTCAGAATGAAGTAAACAAAAGTAGCAATTTAAGGTATAGCCATCAAGGCTAAGCACAGACAGTTGAAAAGCCTGAGGCTGAATTGATTTAGTCTTTACAGGTTAGTTTAAGCTGCAAAGACTGAACCAATAAGCAAATGAACAGACATTCACTTTTGATTCAGGAAATGCAGCCACATGCCTTCAGTGCCTCAAGCCAGAAGCCAGAGGGTGCTATAGCACAGCTCTCTAACGTCGCCAGCATGGGCTGTGTGTTTGCTCCCTTTTCCTGCTGCCCTTTAGATCTCTGGGATTTGCAGTCCAGAATCACAGCAGCAGGACTCTGCAGGGATGCTCATCACTTCCTCTTCCTGTTTCTAGATGCTTCTGGGATTCATAGTCCACAGTCACAGCCAGCAAGCAGGACAGGGCAGCTCTGCACTTGGGGGGAAGGGGAGTTTAACCCCCCCCCCCCTTCCTGGACCCAGATTCCAGCAGGGGCTTACCAGGGGTGGGGAGGATGACCATGAGCCAGCCAGTGAAGCCAGTGACCCAGCCCTCACTACTCCAGCTAGGGAGCAGAGGGGTGGGGACAGCCCTGCTCTCTGGAACACACAACACAGCCCAGCTCAGGGCTGCAAAGCATGCTGGGATGCTGGGGGACTATGATTTAACTTGAACCAGGAAGGGGTCTGGGACTGAAGTTTCATAAACCAGTTTGAACTAAATCAGCTAAGTCTGATACTACATTCAACCAAGTTTATCTTAAGTCAGTTTCAGCCATTTTGAAACTGGTTTATGCACACTGAGCTTCTATTCTGTTACAGGTTTAAACCAGTTTCTGATCACTTAAACCGGTTCATGTGTAACTTCTGTCCTTAGCCCTAATGATGAACCAAGTATACAACACACAGAAGGAAATCCTCATTTCCCAGAAGTTATGAGATCTGTGGCTTGTAGCTGAATAGCTCCTCTGGCTTCAGCTATTGTTTTAACCAAAGAGTAGTAGAGCACTCTCTTTGAAGGACAGAGGAATGTTCACAGCTCTCCATTGCCTCCCAGCAAATAGGTTGCTGCTTTTTTCTGGCAAAAGGAAAGAGAGGGATTTGGAGGCTTGAGCATTGGGATAGGTGCTTCCTCTGTTTATCCCCTAGGTGCTAGTAACTTTAGGAACGGGTATGATGCTGTGTAGCTTGAAGGCAGGAAGACATCTGAAGGGGAGCTCTAAAAAAATGTATGGTATTAAATCCCAAGTTACTGAGGCCTGCAGCATTTGTCACAATGTCACATTCCTTGCCACCTCAGGCCTCCCTGTTGACAATAGGGACAGGTTTTAGCCTCCTGCTCAAGAAGCATGAGCCCTTATTTGGCCACTTATTAACAAGGTATTTGTGTTAGCTGTAAGCAGCACAGGAGTACTGTTGAGCTGTTTGGATTTGAATGTTTCTTCCTCCCCCACCTCCGTTCCTTTGTTACACGTACTTCACAGTATTAAGCAATAGCTAGTTTTAAAGTATAATAACAGAAAAACAAAGAAACAATCAAATCCCTACCCTCTCTTGCTTTTAAGAGAAGCCTGTCTTTAATTTGCAGATGCACACCAGGGCTAGGATA